AAAATACTGTCATTGTGAATTACATCAGCTTGAAATGCACATTAACTTGCATTGATTTTACTTAGGACAGATCTTTATTGACCCTAAAACACCTATTTTATGGATTTTGAAATGTGGACAAACACCTTATTTTATGGGTTTCTTGACTTGTATATAGACATTAGCTTTCTTTATGTCAACTTTATGTTTCTCCGGAAGTCTATGCTGAGCCTATGGAACATGCAATCAATTAAACAGTTACCTATACCTTGATAGAAAAATGAAAAATGTACAGTATTGAAATCATAATTTTTGCATAATTTCTTTAAAGAGCATATGATGTTGCTTCACACTTGATCCAGCCATCTGTCCATCTAACGTAATTCTTAAAACAAAAAACCTCTAGTTTATGAATATAGGATTTTGTGCTTCTGTACCCACAATTCAAAACTATCATGTCCACATTACCAACAGGAAAAGGGATGCCAAGCTTTACATAGCAAAGGGGTAGTCTGAATGTTGGCAACACCAATGACAGTAGTCAAAAAGCTCTACAGGATACCCTCTTGCGCTCACTGCCATTCACAATGTGACACCAAGCAACAGAAAATACTGAAGCTGACTTCTTTGTTCATCACTTAACTACTTCTCCCCCAAACACAAAGCAACTGTCATGGATGTTTTTCAACAAGTGTGAAAAGTATTTACTTTTTGATTCATTTCATATTGCACTTTTCCTCAGAGTTGCTGAAGGCATCCTCCATAGTCATCGCAACAACCGAGTGAGATACATTACATGGGCAGAACCCACATTTACAATTTTTGGACAAAGTGATCTAGCATGCCCCCTAGGGCTGAGAAGATAACTACTAAGCCAAAGCCTGTGAATCAGTGGCGGAAGTGTTGAAAAGGGTGTTCCTTTTTTTCCCTGCCCTATGTTGCATGTCTCACAATATGGTTCACCCTCAAGTCCTTGCCTTGGGCAGCCTTCTGCCCCTCCCCAACCACCCTACGGGACAATGCTCCAACCATTAGGTGTAGGGCAGTTGGTTCAAGAGACTCTGGGAGATCACCAGCAGGTATGGTGGCAGGCTTGCACCTGCTTTGCTCTATGACTCTGGCTTCCCAATGACTTGGCAAAGGATTTGTTTTTATTATTTTATGCAAATTAGAGTGTCACTTGGGAAAACACAACTACATTTTCAAGTTATTATGTTGTGATTGTGTTTCTTTAGAGGACATGCATGCGTCTCCGTTGGCAGAGTTAATTTACTATAATTTCATAGCTTGGGCTAGAAGGCTTTCATTGAACTTACCCTTCCCCATGTAGTATATCCTTTGCCATCCTGTCACATTTGAAGGGGCCTGCCTAGAAATACAGACTCATTCATTCTAGCATGTTAAAACAACACTGATAATCACTCAATTCAGAATTATATGATTCTAAATGTGATAATCAGGGCTTGCGGGTGAGAAGAAAAGAAAGGAAAAGCAGCAATTTTTTTTTCAAAAGAATTGAAGGAATTTTTAAAGTGAAAAGCCAGACAGAAGGGATATGAGAAAAAGCCAGCCTTCCTGCTAGGTAAATCAAGAGCTGCTCTGGTTGAATTACAGCCTGTTCAAAGCAGGGAGAAAACAGATTTGGAGACTATTAAACAAATAAAAATTGGGCTAAGGTAATTACTATTTTTAGATCAAAAAGTTGGGTGTTTGAAACTATGCTTTAACAGTTTCTTATGTTTAGCCTCCATAATTAACTTGCAAACCATCCAGAGAGTGCTTTAAGCACTAGAGGCGGTATATAAGCAGAACACTTTTTCTTAATTTGCTGAGAAAAAGGTCACTGGTGACTGCATGGGGTGGGGTAAATCATGTGTAATTTTAAAAAATCATAACTTTAAAACAATTTGACCAAGCAAAAACATATTTGGCACTGAGCAACATCAGACAGTCTAGTCCTGCTATGCCAAATTTGGTACTGATCTGAAGCCTGGTTTAAACATTACAAATTTTTGTTTGGGGTGCCCCCATTTTTAGAATTACCTTGTAGCATGTTGTTTTGCTCTGCCAGCATAATAACATGACTGCATTCCCATGCAGTAATAACTTCTGCGGTTTAGCCCACAGTGCCACCTTGTCCCTTCTTATGTGTAGCCTCCATAATTAACTTGCAAACCACCCAGAGAGTGCTTTAAGCACTAGAGGGCAGTATATAAGCAGAACACTTTTTCTTATTTGCTGAGAAAAAGGTTACTGGTGTAGAGGTCTCTTATGTTTTTTTGTTTGTTTGTAGTCCCTCCTGCAGATATCCTGGATTTTGAATTAGGTTCTTTAGCAAGTTTCCCTTAAACCTGTTCAATGAGGTTTTTGATGTTTTTAACTAGACTATTTGCAACCCGAACATACGCAACTATCAATTAGTCTCTGAATATATGCCGTACATAGATTAGCTTGATTTCTTTTCCATTCTATAGCTGTCTATTCAGGCTTTCAAAAGTGTTTTCAAAGGTATTCCTTAAAATTGCTGAATAAAAGCTAGAGATAGAAAATAAAAGCTGTTACTGTGGAATCAAGGTCAACTGATCTATATGGAAAACTGTCTTATTTGCAGCACCTCTTCAACAGCACAGGCAGAAAGCTTTGCCAGCCCATTTATCTGAGATGATCATCACCTGATAAAGAAATGCAGCTCTAGGTCCCAGGGGCGCTTTATGCTGCTTTTGTCAATTATAAACCACAATTTGATTATATCTCCTGGGACAAGTTAGGGGTGCAACTTAAAGCTTCCTAGATTGTTATACTTATTTGCACACTATATGGTGATAACTTTTTAAAGAATATGTAGCAATCTACAGTGCCATTTCTCCCACAAGTTCCCAGTTAAAGAGAAATATATTTTGTCTCCCCACCACCACCATTATTTAATATTTATAGTCGTTCCATGTTTCAGTTGTTATGTAACCTGGACTTTCACCCACCTAGGCTAGCAAACAGATCAATCCCCCTTTTTCTATATCCAGATTATATGATCATTTTATCTGCTCCTGGAGTAGGACTCAGGAGAGACCTTTGGAGTTTTCAGGCATACTGCACGGAAGACTAGTTCGTCATAAATTATCATAAAGCTTTAAAAACATATTTGGCAGACTGACAGCCGTGATATTGAACAGCCATGATATTGAACAAGTCTAAGATATATGAATGCCTAGGTGTAGTTTTTAAGTCAATTGAATTGTGGAGAGCTCAGATTGCCCATGTCATTGAGAATGGCTCAAGAACTTTTACTGCTTCCAGAAGATTCTCCATCTAGAACGGAGGCTCCTATGCTCCACCTCTGATAAAAGCCTTCCAGGGCAAGGCTAGGCACATGTAAAGATCTCTGCCCCTTCGAAGCAACAGACCTACATTTTTGCCAACTATCTTTTGTGTGCTGTGCTGTACTCTACTTCAGGCGTTCCATGTTGTATTGTCGTGTGCCATCAAATCTCTTGCAAATTATGGTGATTCTACTGGGGTTTTCAGATTATGTGAGATCCATGGCAAAGTGGGGATTTGAAACCAGCTATCCTGAGTCCTAGTCCTACACCCTATGCAGTACATCACACTGGATCTTGATACTTACAATGGAATCTAGAATGGCCTCACTTAAACAGTAGCTCACTTGGATTAGCTTCTCTGTGGTGCAGTGGTTAAACTGCTGTACTGCAGCCCAAACTGTGCTCATAACCCAGGGTTCAATCCCAGGTTCACTCAACCATCCATCCCTCCAAGGTTGGTATAATGTATCCAGCTTGCTGGGGGTAGGAATGTGTAGCCTGCATAATTAAGTTGTAAACCATGCAGAGAGTGCTTTAAGCGCTAAGGGGTGGTATACAAGCAGCACACTTTGCTTTTATTTTTGTTTTTGTTTTTTATCCTATCAGATCCTTTTCTTTCAGGCTGGGTGACAGTTGTTGAGAAAAAATTACAACCCTGTGGGTTCACTCCCCCAGCTCTATTACAACTAGGATTCCTGGGAACCAAAGAAACAATCAAACAGTGGAGGTGGGAGATAATTCTCCGAGAGTATAGATTCTGTGCTACCTAGAGGCTGGGAACCATAGTAAAAAAAATTACTCCAGCTCATTATCATCATACTCTAGAAACTGCTGAATACTGAAGACCTTTTGCCATGGTTATCAACACACCATCAGCCCTTCCTAGAATGAAGATACTTACATGTTCCTTACTTTGAATCTGCCTACTTTTGTCAATCAGCATGGCTGAAATAGTCAAGCATGTTATTACACTCCCCATACTTTTCTTTCAGATTCTTCAAGCAAAACTACTTTTAAGGTGACTATGTTTTATGCACTAGCACCTTCTACAAGGAAGCAGCTGTTCAAATTTCTTCAGTAATGACTTTTGCAACATTAAACAACCAATATGAGGCGAGGTTATGAATTTGTTGATATAAGTATGTCTCTTTTCATGCCCACAATTTGTATCTGTTTGGCCTATATTCTTGATGGCTGATCTACAGTCATCACAATAAAAGGTTTCTTTTCTTTTCTGACCTTGTATCTGAGACCATTTTCTGATTTTATATCCAAGATCATTAAAATCTGGAGTTATCCAGGGATTGAATTAATCTTTCATTTACAAATCCTGTATTTAACCCAGTGCTACAACAGATGTAAGCATAACCACAGCACACCACCAATAACAGTTAACCTTATTTGGTGGGAAGGAGCAAATGGGATACAATGAATTATACATTTCCTCCATTCCTAAATATACCGTTTGCACAAAACAATGGTATTTACATTGAATCAACTGTCAACCTGACTCTGAAGGTGAGCAGACAATGTTGTCTTTGGGTAAATCTTATTCTGTGATTCCAACAGTATTTGCTGTTGAAAACAGGGCAAGCAAGACAGCTAAGGAAATTTAACAACTCTGATATGTCAGGAGAGACATTTCTTGCAAAGATATGAATTTCTAGTGAGCCGTTATTTGAAGATAATGGAAATCATATTTACCTTGTCCTGAAGTTTGTAGGATGAGGATGCCCATCATATAATGACAAATAATCATATTCTTCTTCTAGAGCGAAAGATTGAAATACTATCTGTATTCTGTTTCTTTCTTCTGCAATTATTACCCACGTACAATTTGCGCCATTTGGATATCCATATGGGAAGCCTGGGCTTTCTATAGTTCCATTAAGTCCTTTTAAAGTTCCGCCACACGTATAAATAAATCCTGCAAAGACAAAGAGTTGGACATTGTTGTTGTTATGTGCTGTCAAACCACTTCTGACTTATGCTGACTCAATGAATTAGTTACCTCCTCCAAAATGTTTTATCATTCACAGCCTTGCTCAGATATTGCACATTCTAAGCTGTGATTTCCTATATCAAGTCATCACAACTCATATTCAGTCCTCCACTTTTCCTCCTGCCTTCAGCTTTTCCCAGCATTATTTATTTATTTATTTATTTATTTATTTATTTATTTATTTATTTATTTATTTATTTTAAATAGTTTTACCCAGCCTTTCTCCTTAAAGGGACCCAAGGCAGCTTACAACTAAAACACAATATTTAAAAGCTAAAAACAAGAAGCATACAAATATTAAAGAAAGAATGAAACAAGCATTATATTTAAAATGGTAAATAAGACCAATACAAAAAAACACATTTAAAAATAATAAAGTAATACATTTTTTAAAAAACCCTCTGCCAGTCACTAAGGAAAAGCCTGCCTGAAGAGAAAGGTCTTTGGAAGGACAGCAAAGATGGGGCCAGCCTGGCTTCCTGTGGGAGGGAGTTCCAGAGTCTGGACGCAGCGACAGAAGGCCCTCTCCTGTGTCCTCACCGAGGGCACCAGTAAGATTGGTGGAATTGAGAGAAAGCCTTCCCCTGATAATCTTAATGCCTGGGCAGGCTCATTCAGGGAAATACAGTCTTTTAGATAGCTTGGACCCAAGCTCTTTTTTTTGCCATGACGGCCCAAAGTAAGTCTTACAATCAGAGACTTTTCAATGGTAGCCTCTGCATTATGGAATGTGCATGCAAGAAGATGCCATATTATAAGATAAATTTCCATCTACTGATGACATTCAAATACTGTACTTAACAAGGCCAGAACTTCAGGACAATGAAAACAAGTGGCCTGAATCCTATTACAATTACACTGGCGTAGCTCAATCGTCATGTGTTTTATGGTAAATTGCCAGAAGTGAAGAAGCCAGTGGAGGCATCTGCTGTTGCAAGCTGAGTTGTACAGTGGTTAGCCAGGCTTTCTAAGGCCCACTTAGATTTCTCTGAAGGAAATCTGATTTCTGTACTTGCAACCAATCACTTCTGAGACTCACTTTGACTGTGGCTGTAACCAATCATATTCTGGCCAGTGTATCTTGTCTATTTTCCTTTCCTTTTCTGATATTACCATACTGTTTCCTTTAAGTTGAATTAGTTTTTGCATTCTACTGGAGTCATATCTTAAATCCAACCCCACCCCCCTCAACAGATTACAGCTGAAAGTTGTGACCTAGTTGCTAAGCATGGTTTTCTAAGTCTGAAGTGGAGCATGTTAAGCTATTGACACAGGATGCAAATAGGTTTCTCCAAGTCTTCCTTATTAAGCAGTAAAAACGTAAACAGTTTGAGACCTGATTGCCAAAGAGATTGCCCTTTTCCTCATGCAGTGCTGCAGTCAAGATAAGTAATTACCAGCCCCAAACCAAAGGAAAAAACCGTAACGTCTTTCATGATGCATCTTTCCCTTTGCACTGCAGTTCGACTTTCTTGGCTCACTACAAGTGGAACTTGGAAAGGCTTTTCATTATAATGCTCAAGTGTCTTATGACAGAGCAAGCATGCTCTCATCAAATGAATTAACTACCAATTGAGAGCTTCCAAATCACTTCATCTCCTCTCAACTACGATGGGTTTTTTTTTTACCATTGATCATTTACACATTAAGTTGTGATACAAGTGGAGGGGGAAAAGCCATTGAATATATTGAATATATTGTTGGGAGATAGATGAGCCTATCTGAAGTCAACCCTCTTGTCTTCGCTCTCACGGAGATAATGCTCCATTGTACTACTGGTTTTCTTTTTGATTGCTTTTATTTCTTTCTGCTCTTTATTTATATATATATATTGTTATATGTCCATTTATTTTATTTTGTTGTGAATTGCCCAGATATTGCATCTGCCCTAATGGGCGGTATATCAATTAAATAAATGATCATAAATTCTTTGCACTACTGCTTCTTTGAAATTCACTGAAGGAAGCGAAGAAAAATGAAGGAAAACTAGAAAGGTGTGGGTGCAGTGTGGCTGGTATAAAGGATTTGGGGAGAATTGGGGCAGGTGCAAAAGAGCAAGATGGAGAGGACGTTAGGAATTCTTCTCCGACTAGGAATTTGACGTAGTCAAATTACACTCTGTACTCACTCTGTACTCTTATACTGTACTCACTCTAGCTTAACACAGTTCTAGCTCCTTTGGTTCCATTTGATCCAGAAAATAATATTTCCTTCAGAGAAATTAGACAAGAAGTACACCATCTACAAGCCTGGAATCCGATGTCAACTTCTGTGGGCCCAAGAACTCCATCTCATTTCCATTTCTCATCACCATGTTGGCAAAGCACAAGAAATATTTGCCATTCATTTTTTTCACAAAAATGTTAATAGTCTTGGCTCCTTGTTAACTTGCTCATAAGAACCACTCCCAATACGAACTTAGCCTGCTCCATGTTATCTGTAACCAAAATCATTGTCAAAAGAAATCTAATACCCTCTCTTTGGTATTAGTCTTTAACTCATCAAGTCATGAACTATTTTTAAATACCATCCCAAAATTATCTATTGTTATTTATTATTTAACTCTGATTGCATTATCTAACTCTGTAAAAGCCTTTGAGATATATCTGGTTCAGATATCATTTCTCAGAATGAAGTTTGAATTACTTATGAAGAATTGTGTTTAATTATTTATATCTGCTGTGCTTCAGGGGTTTGGCTAAAATCTTCTGATTTTTGAGACAAGTGGACTCTGTTCTTTTGTCAGGAAGCTAAAAGACATTACTAACAGTGACCTTTCCCTCAGGAGTTTTCATAAAGTTTTTCTTTAGGTGACACACACGTAGAAGCACACTATATTTCACAACTTGTTAAAGCTTCTGAATATTTCACCCCAACTTGTACTCCAACCACTTCGGATATTCTCACTTCAGAATCTAAGACTTAGCAAAGGATGTTTTAGAAATACTGCTGTTCTGAGTAAATCTTTCACCAACATCTTTTCCCCACCCCACCCACGGTAATCATATCTCCCAGTCTTTTGGGGGAACCCCTCAACTTTTCTAAATTCAGTGGGCAGAGTCCTATTGCCCCCCCAGCCCCGGAATAAATACACAAGACAGCAGCTTGGATTTAAACGGGCCACACTTTATTTAATTAATTCAACCAAATTCAAATTCTTAAAACTGTTGGGGGGCCTGCTGTAGTATGGAAACAGGAAACCAGGGGTATCAAAATACCCCATAAGATCGCCATTGGGCGAGCCCCCGGCCCCCATGCTCCTGCTGTCTTACTGACAGCAAGAACCTGGCCGGCCGCTAACAAACACCCCTAGACCTCAAGCCATCTTTAATTGATGACTGTTGATCCAGGAGTGGCCCAACGCATCTTCCCACACCGGCCCTGTGATCGCACAATCCGCAGAGCCGAGAGGTCAGACACGCTGTTGGCTAGGTTGACTTACAAACGGGACTCACCGAGACCACCTGTTTTTCCGCACTACCCGCCAGTGTGACCAAATACAACCACCTAAAAGCCAACAACCCTTTCAGTAGTGTGAGATAGGCGAAAAATCCCCCCAGCCAAAAGCCAATCAGGCTGAAGGTCAAAAATTCCTATCCGGCCCCTCAAAAGGCGACCACTAAAGCCACACTAACACAAGGGAGGGCCGGTGGGTGCCCGAAACGGGAAAAGGGCGAACATCAGGGAGAGCTCGCATATATAGGCGAGCTCCCCCTCCCAACATGCCCACGTGTCCCCAAACGTTCTCGCTTCATCCGGGGATGTTGGGGCAAAAGCCAGCCTCGCCATTCCAGGGCGCAAAACGCCCGTCCGGCGGCTGAAGAATTGGTGTTTGTGTAAACTTTCCGTAATTTGCCACAGATATTTGTAGCTAATTAATGTGGTCCCGAGACGTGTCTTGGTCATGTGACTGGTCATGCAAGTTGTACAACTGGGATGCATCCTAGAATCTAATTAATAAAGCAGAACTACCTGTAATGAGTTACACAAATTTGACATGAACACCAATAGTATTGTGTTCTCAAAGGCTTTCATGTCCAGGATCCGATGGCTGTTATAGGTTTTTCGGTTTGTTTGGCCGTGTTCTGGAGGTTTTTCTTCCTAACATTTCGCCAGTCTCTGTGGCCAGCACCTTCAGAGGACAGGAGTTAGAACTCTGTTTCTGTTCCAGTGTAGTGTGTGTGATACTTGAGTATTTGTAGCTCAGGGATCAGCCTTTTGTCCTTTTTTAGAAGATTGGGTGATTATGGTGATCAGGGTGTTTTTTGTTATGGATGTATTGTTGTGATAAAGGGGAGATGATCTGTCACTGTGGTTGATGGGTATCGTTAGCTAGTCTATTGTGTGCAGTGATCATGGGTTCTTGTGGCTGGGTAGAGTTCGTTGACCTTTTTGTAGGATGTACTTTTCAGTGCTGGGAGCCAGGTTTTGTTGAGTTTTAGACTTTCTTCTTTTTTGTTGAAGGTGTGCTGATGTTTGTGGACTTCAATGGCTTCCCTGTGTAGTCTAACATAATGATTGCTGGTGTTGTACATCTGTGTTCTGAAATATGATTTTATATCCAGCTTGTTTCAGGGCATGTTCAGCTACTGCCAATTTTTCGGGTTGTTTTAAACTGCAGTGTCTTTCATGTTCTTTGAGTCTGGTGTGGATGCTGCATTTTGTGGTCCCAATATATATCTGGCCTCAACTGCAAGGTGTCCGGTATACTCATGCAGAGGTGAGGGAGTCCCTTTTGTCCTTTGTTGGCCATAACAGTTGTTGTATTTTTGTGGTGGGCCTGAATGATGTTTGTTTTTTGTTACTGCCTCCTGTACAATGTTTCAAGCCTCCATCCATAGTTATTCAGGCACCAAATCTAGTTCCTTAAATCTGTTCTTCACTTCCACTGTGCATTCATAAGGGATTTGGCTTGGATTATACAT